AAAAAAAAAAAAAAAAGAAAGAAAAAAACTGAATATAGACATCATCCATTTTTCTCATCTCCTGTAATTCAACTCTGTAGCAGTGTGTAATATATGACTTGATCATCCCACCAAAAGGTCCTACAAAAGTAAATGCCAGTGCAGTGCTTTCGTTCTTTAATCACTTTGATCCCTAACAAAATATCTCACTCACCACAACCACTCACATTTTCAGTCGAGTCTCTGTTGCTTGCGGCAGCTTCAGATGATGTTGTAATGTCGCCAGCTTGATCATCCGTTACAGTATCTTCTGATGCTGCCGTTGCCTCAAAGTCATCAACTGTGAGGTGTGATATTTCAGAAACAGTGGAGCTGTCGTCTTCTGCTCCAGGAGTCAGTGTCTCGGGTGGTTCAGGCGAAGGCCCACGGCTCATGGCTCCCGGGGATGAATCAGATTCTTCTGCAGGTTGCTGAAGGCTCCAGTACATAATACTTGCAGTTAGGGTGAGGATCATTTTTTGGTTCACCTGTCGGATAATATCATGTGTCTTAGTCATAAACGAAATTGTATTTAAAGGAATGTTTCAGATTAATGGTCCGGTCCTCACCTCCATGATATCCTCGGGCAACAAGAAAATTGAACACCCAAGCTTCCTGGCAACGCTGATTATATAGGTAGCATTCAGCTTTTTCTCTTCATCTATCACAACAACACACAAAGCCGGAGTCCTCATCACAGATTGTCCAATCAAATACAATAGTAGCACAAAACACCCATGAGATGCAATTCGTTAAACAAAATGCTATATCAAATTTACATTTAAACTCTCAATATTCATGCTTGTTCGACAGATTATTAAGTTATTGTAAATCTCCACATACGGATGAACTTATAATTTCAACAGTAACTGCATTTTGTTGCAATTAGGATCACTTCTGTAGTTTAATGTTTAATCCTAAATAAACAAAGACTGAATAACAAAAATTAGTAAGTCTCGTATTGGCAAGTGAAACGGAAAATAAAAGCATGAAGCACTTATGATTTAACAAGCATAAATTTATGCAGAATAGATACTTGGATAGTGTCCACCCCTTCCAGCAACTGAATTCCCATTTCTTTATCCCCAACCATTTACTGAAACCTTAGGGATAGATGCAAATTCAGAACTAATTTAAATATCTCTGCACTCTCAAATCTAAAGAACATGTCATTCAAACTTCCAACTTTTGATTTTTTGTGATGTTTGTCAAGCTCATATAGAAATGTTTCGAACACAAAAAATAAGATTTTAATTTCTCAAGAATGAAATATTTGCAACTTACCAGTTTCACCTTTTGTGACAAGATTCCAATTAACAACTCGTGGTTCAACAGCACTTAGAAGCTCAAGAAAGAACAGTCCATTGGAAAGGCTCTTATCCTACACTCATAAAATCCGCTATTACCAACCAGTAAAAAGTTCCAACATCAATATTATGAAGCTGCAAGTAAAAACTTATTCAACAAATGAAGCTTAGCCCAACCTTGAAACTTTCCATTTGGGACTTCCGGCCTGAACTCTTCACTTTTTTGTTCGCCCAATTTAGTATATCAGCATCACTAACTTCCTTCCCTTGGAAGCGGGATCTAAGGTTTTTAAGAAGTTGAAGCATATTAAACCTCATCAACTGCCAAAGGAAAGCTGCCAACCAGATACAAATAAAACATGAGATCCAAGCATGTAACATCCATGTTTCATCCAAGGTTGAAATTAGTTTTACATGAAACAAGAACAAAAATTCTAGTGCAGAAGCAGTTAAAAGGGGGAGAAGGAAAAGAAATGTTAAGAAACTTGGAAATTTCATTTCATAACCAAATAATAACAGTACAGCAGAAATCAACTACAGCAGTATGCGGTCTAAAAATGATCAACAACCAAAGCAAAAGGTAAGTAAAAATTAGCCAATTATAACCACATAATAACAGCACACCAGAAATCAACTACAGCAGTACGCGGTCTAAAAATCATCAACAGCCAAAGCAAAAGGTAAATAAAAATTAGCACAATTAAACAAAAATAAATTATTGGAAGCTGTGAACCAATTTCACAGAAGCAAAATAAAGACTAGAAAGTCACTTGAAAGCAGAATCACTGACTAGAGATGGCCCCAACCTGCATGCCTAGTACTTACCAAGTATAAGTTTCTTATTCCCTTGCACAAAATCATTTCCAGCTACATTTACTAGGGAGAGTCTCAACTGCTTTCCTATCCTAACAACTTGGTTGCAGTTCTCAACTTTCCTAAATGGCATCTTAATAGGAGGTTTTGTTGCCTGCTTCCAGATGACCGATCCTGGATAAACTTTATCCAGCACTTCCAGAAGAACCCACCTGAAAATGTGATAAGTTCTATAAATATACATAAAGAAGTGAGCATGCTAGATGCCGGGATACTCCATCAAAGTGAAAACCTAGCTTCCAGACATCCAAACTGCTGCCTAGTAATGTGCAAAAGCAGACAACTATAAATTGAATTCAGGCCTTTGTAAAGTCTAGTGTGAATGTCAGCACAAGCAACTTCCATAAAGCTGTAAAACTTACCCATTTCTAACATCTTCGAACAAGTTATTGACATAAGAAGTAATTCCGAGACTGTTGATCCACAGGCGGAAGCACCTCTCTTCTCTGGACATTAGCTCATCATCCGTCATCATCTCTGCAAAAGATATCTTTTTGCTGTCTGTAGACAAGCCATTCCTGGGGTGGGAAAAAAAATATCAATTTCCCAGAAAGTATAGAAACTTGAGCAACAAAATACAAACTATCAGAGTTTGGCAAAAAAAAAAAAATTATTCACTACTTATAAGACAACAAATAATCCGGATAAAATAGAAATTCTTCAGAAAATGTGAGAATTACGCATTGAGATCCTGAAAGAAAATATGCATGAATGTTAGAGATACTATATTGATTGGATTTGCTTCTTGATCCAAATAAACTATTAGTGAACTACATACTCAGAACCTAAGTTCAGCAAGCACCGGTTGTACAGAAGAATAATTGAACATTCATAACTGGAAAGGTACAACTTGAAACTTGGAAGCAAATAGGAGATATCAAAGTTACAACTAAGTTTAATTTACTTTTGAATCATGATACAGCAGCAGACTCCTTTGACTTTTATCACTATTCTTCTAAAGAACCATGACTATAACATCTAAATTGTTCTTCATATGCCAAAAGAAGCAAGATGAATAAGTTGTTGATTATTACCTTTGGTGGAATATTTGTGCAACAAAAGCAAGATTTAAATTGGTCGATCCCTCGACGATATCCTTGGGAGATAGATATCTCTTGCACTCCATTTTCTCTGCATGCTCAAGAACCAAATTAGCCCTTTCAGTTGGGTCCTTTGTATCTAAGGTGATGGGACTGCAGTGTTCTGGGGCAAGCACATTAAGCAAATAGGCATATGCCTCTCCATCCTACAGATCACCACAATTACCGAATTACGACAGTTGAATTTCTTGTCAATATATGGGGTGACCAAATCTAGCACGCACGCCTAAGTGATCTTATAGGAGAACAAACAAGTTCCAAAATATTAGCGAATTCGCAAAAGAAACCCACAGTAAGTCGCTAACTTAGAATTTAGCCAAAAGAACAAATCTGATGTCTTCATCTTGCACAAAGATCATAATGTCTTATAACTTCCAGGCCAACTCAAAAATGACCTTAAGAAAAAGAAATAACTTCCTTCACCATTAAGGCATTAACATGCTCTCCAACTACGGGTCTAGAGTGTTACAAATACAAGATCACCTCTAAAATGAAGATACCTTCAAATCAGAAGAAAAGTTTGACACATTTTTCTTGTAGCCAGCTTTCTTGAGATGGAAATTCATCCATTTCAGAAGAACTTTTTCTGGAGCAAGACCCATGAGCTCCTCAACATCCTGCATATATTAGTGACACCAGATCAATGTGTAGAATTAAGCATAGTTCTAAGTTACAAATTGTGATACTTGATGTTATCGAGACTTGAAGGAATTAGTCAATTACATTGTTGTCCTCCACTAATTCTACAAGCTGGGGTGTTTTTCTGAGGTTGAGATCTGCCAATAGTTGAATCTGGATGTGCCTCCCAAATGCAGTGGAAAGGGTTACTATTAGTAAAGAACAATCAACAAATTTTGCAATAATCTATTTCACCACAACTAATAACCCTCATTTTATCTCTTCTTTCTATTAATGTAAAGCAATTTAAAAACCTAATGTATGTAATAAAGCCATGTATGCTAACCTTTATAATTTGAGAAATTAATCCAAGCACCAGATGAGGCTGCAGGGAATAACCAAATACATAAAGATCTTAATACCTGACAGGTTATTATGAACAAGCCATATCATGCAAGCTCATTACTCATCTTTATACAAGCTCAACTTACTCTTCCCTCAACAAGATCCTGAGTGCCAATATTGACTACTGTGCATCCAATCGCCTTTGCAGAGTTGAGACATAGTGTATGGTTCTCATTTCTTTCCCATGGATTGATTACTCTTTTTGTGTTGATAGCACGTTCATCTATTGTATTAGGTACTGCAACATTGATCAGCTTACTGAAATAATTCCAATTAAGAGTCAAAAATCAGATATTATCAAAATAGGATGTCACTAAGGTGCACGAAACCAAAGCTGGTAGATTTAAATTACCATAATAGGACACCATCCTTAGCAAGATCAAATAAAGCGTTTGAAGAGGGGTCAATTGGAAGGAATTGCTTCAGAAATGGATCATCCCTCAGGTAACTGTTGATATGAGCAACATATGAAGCCTTTTCGGATTCACTTATAGTGTGAAGAAGGGTTGTCGTGGTGGCCTTCAGGAATGATGATGAATCTTTTGAATTTCCCTTCTTGACATTGGCTCTACTTTGTAAATCCAAGTAAGACTGCTCATTCAAAGCAACTAAAACAATGTCACCAATCATCCATTTAATTTAAAAATTAGTTAGATAAAATCATTCTCAGTTCCGATTTTACTAAAAGCCATTTACCTCTAAAATATACACGAGTACAACATTAAGGACCTCATATGAATTTTGAAAGGTATATTACCAACTTCTTATTTGTTTAATACTCTCGGATGAAAAAAATTACAATAACAACAAATAGAGAAGAAAAACTTACCCTGAGAAAACCTTCAAAATCTATTTCATTATTCGTATCAGGGTGTAATTCTCCTATTGCTTGCCTAATCTGCTCTTCATCAAATGTTTCATTGATGCCCTTCACCTTAATCATCAAAGACGGTAGATCTTCAACCGTGACTTTGCCGTTCAGATTCTTCGTCGCTATGAACTATAACCATGGGGGTAAAAGAAAAGGAAGAGAAGAGTCAACAAAATCAACATCAACATCAACATCAACATACCCAGTATATGCCCAACAGGTTGGGGTCAATTGAATACATATGCACTCTAGAGAATTGCTGTGACTCTCAATTTCAGTCAAATTCCCAGACACACAATCCACGGCAACTTTGACAACACATTTTTTCACAATCAAAATAAGCAAACCCTTAATCAAAACACGAAATGCAATACCTATCCAAACAATAAAGGGGAGGCTTACTTTGGATTTGAGGCTGCGAAGCTCGACTTGCGTGAACTGGCTCTGAAGCCATTGATCAGAAACAAGAACTCCCACAAAGCTAGACATCGCCTTTCCTGCCCCGCCCGCGTCTGCGCGAATCGCGGGGAAAAAAATGCTCCGAATCAAACTAAACTCTGCGACGGCGATTATGCCCAGAATCGAGCGCCACGAGATTCCAAATCTCTTTCAACCTAGAAACACCAATACATTAAACACGAAAGCAGAAAACCGAACATGTAAAACATTGATTTATATCATTAAATTTCAACCGATTAGGGCAATTCAATCCCCCCGCACAAAACCCATTCTTGAATATATACACAGGATTCTGATAATGGTCGAAGAAGGAGGAGATGAAAGAGTAGGGGATGATCAAAAACATCACAACAAGACATGCATATACCCGTAAAAGCAATCCACGATTTCTATATCACGATAATCTTTCTTTCTAAACCAGTCGATCGAAGGTTGGACTGTTCGATGTAAACGTCGGAAGAATCAAATCAATTCATGTGCCTGCCTGCAACAATGGAGGTGAAAATGTAATTGAGAATTTGGGTGTGGACACGCAAAGATCATATGAGCAAGGCAGTTAATTGGGGACACTGTGTGAGGCCCATTTACATTCATGAGGTAAGAGTCCCCCCCACGCGCTTGCGCATGCTGGCGGTGTTCTACGCGCTTCCCTCCTCTCTACACCTCATCTTCGACTTTAATTACACCTCACCTCCTCATTTCGTCAAATTCTGTGCAAATTGCTCATAATTCATATCAATCCTACTTGTTGAATTTTACCCAAAATTACCACGCTTATTTTTTGAACGCGGTGATTACTAAACACCGTCCCTCTTCTACTACTTACCGTCCTCTCTCGAACCCTGATATTTTTCTTTTAAATAAAAAAATTTTCTCCAGCCGGCCGGTCGGAGCGCCATCACCGGTTGGCCGCACCGTGCATGGCTGGTTTTGCTAGTTTGTCGTACTGTGCACGGCCGGTTTCGCCAGGTCAAACCGTGCACGATTGATTTTCCTGGTAGGTCAGGCAATTTTTTTTTTTTATAATCAAAATTTTATTTATCATATAAATTATATTAAAATTTAGATTTTATTATGTTATAAATTATATTTTATCATCTATAGTTAGAATTTAGAAATTATGTATATATACTAATTGTGTATATATACTATTATATATAGTAAAATTATATATACTATTTGTCACGAATATGTAAATACATATATAGTAAATACATAATTAATTTTATATTAAATATATACATAATAGTATATGTAATGGTAAAATTACATAAATTTTAAAATATTTTACCTATATTTTTCACATTATTTTAAAATAAATAAACAAATAATGATAAGTAGTCGGCTCAAACTCGGTGGACCAAGTCAGTGAACTCAAATTTGACCCGGTCCATAGCGGCCCAAATGGAGTCAATCAGGGTTTGGTTCAGGCTATGTTCATCGTGTTCGTTTCATAAACACTATAAGAGGGTGAATCTATGTGCACCGTAATGAGGTTTCATCTCGAAACTATATGGTGACGGGAGTAGCAGCTAACTAGACTTATAACTAGGCTCATTTTTTTTTCTATAAAATCAATGTGTGACAATTCACAAGTGATATTTCAACAATATGCAACACCAACTATGTTGCACCACAGATTTAAGAACCGTATTTGTGCTACAATTGGCCATGAGATTAGTTGCATTCTTAGACATATATTTTGATGAATTATTTTGCCAAATAACTACTAATTTGCCTTTAATAAAAAAAAATGTTGGTGTATCAGAAATTTTGTGATGGTTAATGTTGAGTGGTCAATTATTGATGAGTGTTTTGATACGTTTATTGGATCAATTAAACTTGAGGCTTAATATAGTATTAATTGTTTAAGGTGCATTGAAATTGAATTTAGCTATGGCACTAACATCATGATCTCAAGCGTGATAAAATTGATTCGATTAAATACAAGTCCATTAGATAATGAAAGTCCACGACAAGGCATTTTCATTAGGGTAAATAATTTTATGCAACCTGTACTAATCGCGAATTTGGGATTTGCAAACTAAAGAATATTTTGTACTAAAATGCAACCTTTAATACACGGGTTTGCCTGTATCACAACCTATGGCCATCGACGGCTCGTTTTCTACCGGAAAAGCGAGCGTGCGAGCCGCACGCTCCATTTTTTAGGGTAAATTCGTCATTTTGCCTTACATGTGAAGGACAATTTTGTCATTTCATCGTCTCACCAGATTTATTAAAAAAAGGCGCGTACGTGGGATGAATTTTGTTCTTCATTCTTCTTCTTCGCATGCGAAAATTGGCTTGGAGACAGACGGGCCAATGGCTCAACTATGCAATTGCGGGATGAATGTTGTTACGAAAACATCGTGGAGTGTTCAAAATCCAGGAAGGAGATACATTACTTGCGCAAAAAATTGGGTAAGTGATGAATTTGGGAAACCCTAATTTATGAATTTGGGCAAATTCAGAACCCTAATTCAAAAAATTGGGCGAATTCAATAAACTCGATTTTTCTTCTTAAATTAATATGTTTCTGTAACTGAACATTATAGGATGATGGTGGTTGTATATATTTTTCGTGGATTGAACCACCTTTGTGCCCTAGAGCTCGTGAAATCATTCCCGGCCTTTTGAAACGTGCCAACAGATTTGAAAGTGAAGCTCAAATTCTTGAAGTAGATGTGATGAGATTGGAAGCTGATGTGAAAAAATTTCAATCTGATGTGAAGAAACTTCAATCAGATTTGAAAGAGTCAGAAGCTTGTATTGAAGATGTCATGGAATAAAAGGCCAATCTTGAATTGTGTTTGAAGAGAAAAAGTGCTCGTGAGCGTTGGCTGTGGATTGTAATTCTTATCTCTTGGGTGATCATATATTACATGTTGTAGTGTTTTATAAGATTTTAGATTTGTGGTTCTCTTTTGCATCGGGTAATGTGTAATGGTAAGGTGTGTTATTCAAACTATGATTGTAATGGTAATGGTAAGGTATGTTGTTCAAACTCTTTTGGTTAATCAAACACCATTTTGGTTGTTTAAACTCTTTTGCATTAGTTGTGTGATCATGACTGTCTTTAGAATGTTAGTAACATGTTTTACATGATGTGTGCTCATTCCAAAATAGAAACAGAAATCCAATAAGAAAACATACATAACACAACATAAATTGCTGCACAATATGTCAATAGCCATAATTCTTCCATTCCAACAATATTCCCAATCAGCTTTTACAATGCCAACATCAAAAATACCCAGTCAAGAACTAAAATCTAACAACCATTGTATTTGAGTTCAAAACCATAATATATATCCAAAACCAACCATTAAATCCAAAAGCTAACAACTATTATATCAGGAGTTCAACAAACTTATCCAAAACCAACAAAAACCATTAGAGTTCCAAAATCAGCCACATCTATTAGAACCAACCACTACTTATCCACTATGCTCCCACCAGTAGTAACCCAATATGTTCCCAATATCTCTGGCTCAGGCTGAGATTGCACCACCTGTTTGTTCACAGTTGGTCCTTTTGCTGTTGAAAAGCTTGCACCTTGAGTTAGTGGATTATGTTTCCTGGACACCTATTAATACATAAATAATATCATTACAACAGGTTGAAGCACCTAGGAAAAAATATCACAACAAAATGAGTATTATTAGTACCTCTAGTTTCCTCTTCAATCCCAATGTCTTGCTCTTAGCCTGAATGTTTTGAGTCCTTTTTGGCACCAACTCCTTGGTAGGTGTAAGACCTTTGGACTGACTTCTTGTTAACCTTGTAGGTGTAGTTGCAGATACACTTTGGCTTCTTGTAAGTCTTGTTGGTGTAGTTGCAGATACACTTTGACTCTCTTTTCTCCTTGTAGGTGTAGATGTAGATTGAGTTTGGCTCCTTGTGACATTTGTGGGTGAAGTTACAACAGAAACATGCCTCTCCTTTGTAGACTGACTTTCTTTTCTCTTAGTAGGTGTAGATGCAGATGGAGCTTGGTTCCTTGTGAGTCTTGAAGGTTTTGTTGCAACTCCACTAGGCCCTACAGACTGGCTTCTTATGGGTCTTGTGGAATTGCCTTTCTCAATTTGATGCTCAGACAGGACTTGTCTTCTGGTGACCCTTGTATGTGTAATTGCAACAGATTCTTGTGTTTGTATAACATCACTTGCTCTCACACTTTCTTTCCTTTTCCCCTTCAGAAATAATATATGCAATACACTTCTTCAATAAAACACATTAGTAAGAACAATTGTTTAACATATAAAATTACCTTGCCAACAGTAATGTCCTCAATAGGAGCTGCCACTTCACACTCTTTGCCACTTGGTTTGCTCTTTTTCCTCTTCAGAAAACAAAAAAATTAATATTTAAAAATACACTTCTTGAATGAAACACACCAATAATAACAACTGTTTAACTAACAAATAAAAGTACCTTGCCTACAGTAATATCCTCAATAGGGGCTGACAGTTCACACTCTTGGTTTATACTTGTTGGTTTGCTCTTTCTCCCCTTCAGAAAAAAAAAAACAATTATGTACAATGTATGCAAAGAATAAAGAATATACACTAAACACACACACAATAGTAACAATTGTATAACAAAGAACATTACCTTAACCACATTAATGTCATCAATAGGGGCTGGTACTTCACTTTCACTCTCTCTCTGAGCTGTTTTCCTCTTGTTTCTCTGCATACAAAGCAATTTATGAATCAGAAACATTATTTATTAAAATAAAACACAGTAATTTTTTAAGTACTTCATTCACTCACCTTGACCACAGAATTGTCTTCATTAGAGGGTGGTATAGAAAGTCCTCCAGTTGGTGCACTCTTGTCAGTTTTTAAAGGGCAGCATCTGATGTTGTGGGTATCTTTCTTGCAGAGAGAACATTTCATTTTTCTTCCTTTCCTACTGAGCCGCACTTGAACTTTTTTTTTTGGAATTTCCAGCCAAAACCTCTTCATGGGGCTGATTTTTTCTAGCATTTTGTTTTGGCCTTCCAGGTAGTCTCTCAATAGATG